ATGACAATAACCACAGTATCATGAATCTTTGTTGAAGGATGTGCAGGACCAGGATCTATGTTTTCTTTGTAACTTGTGTCTTTTTTCTGCACTACCACTCCCAGAAAAGAGCAACACACATGACTGTCATTATACAAAACTGAAAAAGAGCACAGGTACTTTATGTAATTTATATCAGGTCACGGGACAGACAAAGTTCAAGTTAGGTTTGAATTCAGACAGTCTGTCACCAGACACAGGGAACTGCATCATATTTTCCCCTGCCCTTTTACTTCTCTAGTCTTTCCAGGCTGAGAACCCCTGCTCACTATTATCTTTAGCGTGTGGTTTCTGCTAGACCACAGTGGACTGCAGCGGTTGCCTCCTGCTACCTCAACTCTCAGAAGGACAGTTGAGAACACAGGAGAGGATCACATCATGATTGCCAGATAGTTTGGGCATGTTCTTCTCTTACCCTTTCTCTTTGGATTTGTATTAGCTATCCACTCTCTCCATAATCCTTGTAATTTAATACCTCCCTACCACAGAGGGAGACATAAAGACAAGATCTTTGGGTCTAATTAGTTATGAGGAACTTGGATGAGTTTAGAGGTGAAACTTAGATATAACATTGGTTAAGTTCCCTATTTTAAACATTTTAAAATATGAGGATACAGAGTGAAGATGACTAGTTCTTGGGCCTCAGTGATGTACAATTTAATTGTGAATTCTTTCTGCTCAACTTATGACTTCTGTGGCATATGGGAAGTTCATAGTATCTCTCAGCTTCTAAGTTGTCACCTAACTTTATCCACTGCTAACAGAGAGAGAGAGAGAGAGGGAGAGAGGGAAAAAAAAAAAAACCCTGCACTGCTGTAAGTATTCAACAGAAAATGGATATTAATGTGATTAAATATGTGATGGATGCTGACAGGGCATATTGATTATATATTAACATTATTAATATAAATTAGATGAAGCTGCATGCCATTCACTTAGGTATCCTATGATCTGAACATTACCTTTTGTATAGATTTCCTGAAAGAGCAATTTATTTACATTCTTACACAAGTAGATACTAAATACTTTGAAGGAAACAACTGAGCCTCATTCATTTTTCATTCCCCAAATCCTTTTCTGTGTTTGGCATGCATTGTGCTATTACCACAATGACAGCAAGAAATCTCTATTTATTTATTTATTTATTTATTTATTTATTATTGTGATTTGGGTGAATATTTACAGAGCAAATTCACTTTCCATACAGCAGTCCACATACACTTTGTCTCATGTCATTGACCACAGTACCACAATGCAATAGCTCCCCTCTCACTTCTCCCCCATAGTTACCTCTTCCCTGTGTCCATCCCTTCATGCACTCATGCCCCCTGAGCTGTCTGCCTGTGCATAAGCAGCCCTTCTTTCTCCCGATTGTTTTCTCCAAGGAGTGTATCTACTTGAGGTAAATGTTCAACTCATATGCCTGTCTTGTTTGGCTGGAAACCACAGGTGTGGGTTCAGTTCCAGACCTGAAGGGCAGCTAGGGGCCATACTCTCAGTGGTTCCACCAAGCTCTATAGGACCAGCAAACCTGGTCTCCACCTTTTTGTTTTCTTTCTCCAAATGATTTTGAGTTTTGTTCCACATTGTTCTCCCTCTCTATCCAGGATCTCCTACATAGATAAGAAGTCCTTATTTAAAATAGAGTAGACCCTTTCTTGGTTTACAGGGTGAAGGCACACACTGCATGAATTCCATGCTGAGGGTTTCATGCTGTGCTTTCATCACATAGAATCAGAGACGAGATAAAATGGGGCATGAATATGTCTGTATTAGGAGTTCTAAATGGGACCTATTTGATAGAGTGTATACCATTAAAATTTTTTCCAAAACTGTGTAGATATTTTTTTAAAAAAGGAAAAACTATGAAATAGAAGGGAAAATTAAACTGTATTTTGTTAAACTGAACACACTTTAAGATTTCAATACATTCTGTGCTCAAATCCCTGGAACATATTAGGCTTTTATCTTTCCTATGGAGACAAATAAAACTGGCATTGTATTTCAACAGTAAATGTACTACCCTCATATCGATTCAAATTAAGATTAAAAAAAAAAGTCCAAGTACTTATCAAGTGCCAAATTTTGTTAGATGACACACAAATCCTGTTATTGTTGTTGTTATGTGCCGTTGAGTCGGACCCGACTCATAGCTACCCCTCCTTGGGTTTCCAAGGCAGTAAGTAGATTGCTCAGTGTTCCTTCCGAGGAGTGGCTGGTGGGTTTGAACCACCAGCCGTCTGGTTAGCAGTCAAGTGCCTTAGGCACTAAGCTACCAGAGCTCCTATATGAATCCTAGGGATATGTTTTATTCTATTTCCAGTTAAGAGAATCTGTGGGATCTATAAGGACTCCAGATTTACTGTTTGGAAGATGTGGGAGTTGGACCTTCCTCTCCTGATTCCTATTCCAGGTTCTGCCTACTCTACAAGATGTGGATTGTTGTGTTTCTTTTCAGATGAGCAAATTGTTTTTGAACCATTGATTCGTCCTCTGACAAGTCGGTGAGTTTATCTGTGAAGTAATAAAATGGTCCAAACAGTTTACAGGGAAACTGTATAACATGCATCTTCTGAATTGTAGGGTTTTTTATGAAACAATAATATATTTTACTGCATACTCATACTTATGACATCTGAGATATGGGGACATTATTTATCACATAGGATCAAATTTTCATGTGTACCTATCACGGAATGACTTTTACCAACAACTTTCAAGGGTATTTGTGATTTCATACCTTGACAATAAGAGCACATAGTAGTGTCTAGCTTTCTTTCATTAAACAAATGTTGTCAGTTAATAATACATTTGGATGTGCATCAATTTTATACTTCAAACAACTCTGCTCCATGCACATATCATATAGAAATTCCTAATTGCAGAATTTGGAACAAGAATCTTACAGTTAGGGTCTTAATAAGAAATTGACAAAGAAAATGATCCTTCATTCAGTAATGTTAAGCATCATTTAAAGTCTGCAAAATAAATGTATGTACTTCCCAGAGAAGGCTGAAACACAATGTTGGAGTAAGCGAGAATTTTTGCAGAACAATATGTGCAGCATTTTACTATTTAGTTACATTTTCAATAAAACTGGCCATGGATCCATAAATTAAATCCAATACTATGAAAATATTGAGAGGAAAATGAACTTACAAAATTTATAAATTTATGACAGAGGTTGCCTTTTGAAGAACAGGTATGCTGAGAAATAGGGTCATACACAGAGAGCAAGAAACCTCATTTATCAGTAATATTTTAAATTCATAAAGTATGATTTATGAAGTAAATCTTGTTAAATATTCATATAATTAATGTCACAGGGTCTATTAATGATAATAGAACACATTGATGCAGCACTCGGTAAGTGTCCAGCAATAATCTAAAGCAATGTTTCTCAACCCTGGCTGTGATTCAGGATGACTAAAGCCCTGAGATGTACTATCTCATTTAATGTGTTCTAGGAATGTGTTCTAGATTGTGGCCAGGAGCTCTGGTAGCATAGTTCCTAAGGCATTTGACTG